ATCACACTAGGGATGAATGGGCCTATGTTGAAATTAATTTCTAAAAGAAATTTAGCTGAATGTATAGAAAGGTACAGAACTGACACCGCTGCAGACTGAAATTTCTCTTTTTATCCACTGAAAACCTTTTCCTAAGCAGTGATGTGCCTGTCTGCACTTAAAAAAGCATATTTTGCACAGAAGGAGCGGGCAAATATTTAGAGGGGCACTTTAAAAAATATGGCTCGTATTAAAGCTTATTTGGACCTTATGGCACTTCTAGCTGTAGGGAGCCTATGTGAGCCCCTTATCATATCTGGATCTGGTGCCAGCAACTCATTTGCTGCGAGCTCGAATACTCCCATTATTGCCACAGCTGTAGCAGTGTCTGAGAAAGGAGCTTCCCTGTGCTATATCCATCCATGCTGTTAGGAGTTCATGGAAGATACACACATCCCCTGTATCATCCTCTCCAGCCACAGAGCTCCAGCAATTCATGAAAAGAGGAGGCATCTCTGAATTACTGAGACCTGAAGACATTAAAGCTCTCTCTCTCTCCCTCTCTCTCTCTGCTGGCACCAAACTGCCCAGCCTCAGCCTAGAGTTTTAAGAGGCATCAACAAAGAGACCAGTGCCCCTTGCACAAGGAAGACCCACTTTCCCTGCCTAACCACCCTCCCACCAACCAACCATGGGAGTTCTACTCCTTGGCTAATCCTCATCCCCACATCAAAAACCAAAGGCAACCCATTCCCAATCATCTATCTCACAGGCAGAGTCTGAAGGACAGTCTACCTGCTACCATAGGTTACCTGCTGTGAGGCACAACTTAGGTATGGGAGCTACTTACACCAGTCCTCATGAAGGGCTGAGAAACAGGAATCATGATGGTTGTACCTAAGAATCCACACAGGATGGAAGAGGTTGCAGCAATGAAAAGTCCCTCCAACTTGTTCTCTTCCAGGTGACCTGTGGCTCACCAGCACAGCCCAATAAATAGGTGGTGCTTATGGGAAGTGGGTGTGGCCAGGGCATGCACTGATTCATTAGATTGCCAGTCAGCATCGGTTAGCACAGTTCCAGCTGAAATGAAAAACTGCCAATTTTGGGGGAAATGGCTGTGCAAACACTGCCTGTGCACCTCAGGATGAATTATGCACAAAGGCGGAGTGCAATCTGTGCTTCCCTGAGTCAGCTAAGGTGAATTGAAAAGGTGAAGTCTTTTAAAAAGATTTATAACTGTAAAGCAAGTATGCTAGTACATATTGTAATGCAGTGCAGAGTACTTACAGGATGTACTGTTGCAGAAATCTCCTGCTCCAAGACCTTACTGTAACTCTACCAGCTCAATCTTAACTAGTCACATTCAGTCACTCCTTTAATCAACGGATTTTCTCATGTAGTTAAAGGCATGTTCCTATTCCTTCATGACACATCAAAGCAAAATAATGAATGAGCTGGTTTTATTATAGTACTAAAGCAATCTTTAAAATGTTCTGTTCTATGCAGACTTTTAAAAAAAATTCAGTCCCTTTCTTGCCAGTTCTATGCTGTATATCAGGGGTAGGTAACCTATGGCACCTGTGCCAAAGGCGGCACGCGAGCTGATTTTCAGTGGCACTCACACTGCCCGGGTCCTGGCCACCGGTCCGGGGGGCTCTGCATTTTAATTTAATTTTAAATGAAGCTTCTTAAACATTTTAAAAACCTTATTTACTTTACATACAACAATAGTTTAGTTATAAATTATAGACTTATAGAAGAGACCTTCTAAAAATGTTAAAATGTATTACTGGCACACAAAACCTTAAATCAGAGTGAATAAATGAAGACTCGGCGCACCACTTCTGAAAGGTTGCCGACCCCTGCTGTATATGTTTCCCACCAGCCCTTTCAAAGACACGTTATTACTTCCTGAAACTTCTTATGGTGATCCTACTGGATCAGCATTTTCTAAGCATGTAAAATGTACTCAAAGTATAGCTCTGCTATACAAATATGTTATAGGTGTTAAAGCTTGTTCTTTGTACCAATTTACCTTATGCAGCTCTTGTAAGTTATGCTGAAAAATTCTAGAGCCATCTTTCCAGCAGGATTTGTAACCTTTTCTTTTGGATCTTTGTAAATTTTACTTAAATATAAAAGTTTAAATAATTCATCTGAGTAGGTTACCACTTCATAATCCGTATATTGATAACAGGAGACCTGTGAGATGGTAGTGGAGGTTTTACAGGTATCTTTGTAACCATACCATCAAATCCTCTTTTTTTATTATTTCAGTCTCTGTAACATAAAAGGCTGATCATCGTTATTTGTTGGCCTTGGAAAACTTACCTTGTACATTCAAGTTCAGTATATTTAGTGATGAAATAATTAGAGGATACTATTAAAAAAATCTCTCTTTGAACTATGGAACTACTCCTTTTGAAAGCAGGTAACATTTTGCTAGATATGCTGTGTCACATTGCTAACAAGACAGAAACAATGTTTCAGAGCATAGCCCAGTTTGCTAAACTGCCTGCTCTTCTCGGACTTGGAATATCAACTGACAATTAATATACTAGATTGTTTCATATAAAGCTATTAAAATGGACTATCAAGCTCTTGAGAGGCATGACTTTCACAGTTCAAGGCTAGGCAGAAGCAACCACTATGGAATCTATTTTTGGACACCTCATCTTAAGTTTTCAACTCTGTACTGGGGAAAGTCAGGAATAATCAAATATGCACTGACCTACAGTGTTATAAATTATGACTGACAGGGTGTGGGACACCCTTTTTCTCCCCTGACTTATGTTGCTGATGCTCAGCTGCTATGCTGTCTGCCTCCCATTTGCCATGATGTCAGCTAAAGCAATCATGATCATAGAAAGTATTATACACAAACACTGTGAACAACCGTTAAGCAAGTAATGAACACAAATATGAATGGATAGTTTTAATCAGTTGTCATTACTGATTTAGCATTATTTAAGCAATTATAAACTCATCTTTGACATTTAAATTACTTCACAATCAGATAGGAAGTACACGCATGAGGATTATCAAAGTCTCAGACACTAGTCACTGTAATGTTTATTAGCACTGTAACGCCATTGCCCTCAGTACCAGGGGACCCTATGAGAGGCTACCTATTCTACTTCACTTGAGCTGATGGGAAAGACCTTCTGGTATCTGAGTGAATGAGAGTTCTCAATAGTTACGCATATGCAGGACATATTAAGACATAAGAACTGGAATGCCTGTGCTGCTCGTTTGACTCTGTAAAAATCTGTCTTTAGAATGTATTTTTATTCTTGGAATGGGACAGCTCATGTCTGATATTGAATCTGCTCTTCGAGATTTTGTGAGAGATTCATAGAACCCTGCATCTGAACCCTTCCTGCGCTGTCATACTTTGCTTACAGCATGAACAAGGCTCAGGCATCCCTGTCTCTCATGTTGTTTGCCAGACTGGCTACCTTGCTGTGTTTTTATACCTTAACTTTTTTACAAGGATAAGTTGTTGGCTTATCGCTCAACCCCTAACCTGGAGGGCTGTGGACTGCTTTCCATCTGGTTCCTACTTTTGGACCTGTCTGGGTTGGGCAGCCCTATAGGTATTAAATCTCCCACCAGTATAACTCTCAGGGTCAATGGAACATGCAAAGCTTCCCCACTTCATCACGAAGCAATCCTCAGGAAACACACAGAACACTAGACTGACTCCAAAATTCTGGAAAGACTCCCACATTGTGAACGCTGATTTTCATGTTTGAAGAAAAATCAGGCTTTTATTAACCAATCATCAAATATAGTATGATGCAGGGTGTGTGTGCATTGTAGGCATTTTTTGTTGTCTGAAATGATAGTTCCTTCCACTAGGAGTTTTGCTATTCTAGCTTTTGGAAAAGTATATTTGAATTTTTCCTCTCTGCCCAAATGTATCGTAAGTGATATCTGACGTTCAGTACTGGAAATGACCAGGTATTCTGATATGGTGAACTGATTATTTGTAGTTTGGGTAACATTTCTCAAATTCCCATGGGCTCACTTCTGCCTGTAAGGCAGACCTTCGTCTTGCAGGGCTGTGAATTGGGCCCTTTACCTACATGTGATTCAAGAACAATCCTCTGATGGCAGAGAGATGGGACTACATTACCTAACAAGTAGAGCTGGTTAACCATTTTTGGATTAATCATTTTTTCATTTTAAATGCTGATTTGTTAACACTTAAAATTTTAGCAAAACAGGGTTGGGGGAGTTGACAAATTTCCTGACTTCCAAAAACAGAGAATGTTTTTTTAAATTGCCAAAACATTTCATTTTGACATTTTTTAAATAAAAAAATCCTGTTTTCTGGCTTTTCCTTTTGAAACGTAAGCTAATTAGACTGAAAAAAGTTATAGAAAAAAGGCTGACATTCAAATGAAACTTTTTGAAATTATCAATGCATTCTGATTGACCTGCAACAAAAAAACCTGGAGTTTTCAGTTCTCAAATATTTTCACAATTTCAATTTTTCATCCCAATTCGAGAAGGGAAAAATATTTGCAAGATGAGAAAATCATTTTGCAGCTAGCACTACTAACCAGTCTCTTCCATCTCTAGATTCATACTGTACATACAAAAGAAAAAAAACATATCAAGGACTACTAATAAGTACACAAAGTACACAAGTGTGTTTATTACATTTTTGCAAGCACTTTGTTCTACATTTCAAAAACGCCACCATCAAGCTGTTGGCACATTTATGTACAAAACAGATTAATTGTAATGCCTGCTACAAAGCATTCTTTGTGAAAATACAAACTCTAATACCAGAGAAAAGCCAAAAGCATCAACATCATTACATGAGTTTAAAAGACATAGTTTTAAAAATCATCACAAACTGTTTAAGACACTAAACTGAAACACTACAATATAGAATCCAAAAGAGGTTCATAGTACTTTTTGCAGAACCGGTACTGCACATACCAGAAAACTGTTGACCTTGTAAGACAGCCTAAGTGTAAAAAAACAAAAACAAAGGAACAAAAACAAAATCCAAAATCAATCAGCTAATACTATTTAATGCATAACCATGCCACAAATAACTATAGTATTACCTTCTACTTACTACAAGAATTGTTAAAAATTACTGATGATGCATGACTAGTAATAGTACAAAGAAGAGTTTTACTCAAGAACTTTTATTAGAAATGCACTTACACTGAGAGAGAATTCACAATGGTCCAATAAGTGCACAAAACTATCTAGGATTTTTAACACTGACAAAAATGTCTTGTCAGGATACATCACTTTAAAAGACAATTTACAGCATTCTTGTAGCATTAGAAATAGGCAAAAAAAAAAAAAGCAAAAACAAACACCAAATTTGGTCCAATAATACTGATTTTTGTAGGGTTATTTTATACAGGTACTTCCTTCAAATTAATGACTTACCTTTCTGTTAACATTTTCTTACTCAAAATAAAGGTTCAGCTATATTTCTACACTTTCATACAATAAGCTCTGAAGGGGCCTTTTACCTCACTTTCACATAATGCAGGTAAACCAGTATGTGTAGGAAAGCTGCAAGCCAAGCTATTGCATTTATGGAAGCCTTCTTGAATATATCGCATACAATATATGTATATAGTTCAGACAGGTGCAATCCATTAAATTTTTTAAAGCAGGTAAAAAGATTTCTGACTTCTAAGGTTGCTGTATTTTTGATATATCACTTTCATAAATGTAGCTAAGCAGTAATTGCTCACATCAGCACATGAACAGCTCCAATTCAGCATAACCATTGTTGAATTACAAAGAGATCATTCTGCACAAACCTACGCATAGCTATATGATTTAGTTAACATTTGTCTATATACTGTAACTCTTTAAAGGTAACCGTGGTATAACATCCTTTAAACAGGCAAGAGGCCATGCATTATTAGCACCACGGTCTGCATGCTCACAATATAAACAGGAATACTCACCAATAAAACTTTGAAAGAGAATATTCTTTAAGAACACCAAGAATAATACAATGTTAACAAAGATAAGAAGCACTTTTTTTTTTTTACCTACTATTACAAATTTAGAAATTGCACCTTTAATTGTTTAAAATGTTCTTAGGACCCCCAATCAAGACGGCGACTAGGCCATCTGGCAAGACTTCCAAATATGAAGGAAACTCATCAGTGTGTTTTCTCTAGATATTGTACATAATGTGCAATGGTCCCTTTGACGTATACCTGTAGTTAAAGTAGATACTGAAATTAAAACTAAAAAGTATAAAAAGCTATTTTTTTCAAAACCATATAAGAAACAATGCAAAAGGTGTTATGCATAACACATACAAAGTGATTAAAAAAATCAAACACATCTCCGTATTTGACAATAGTTAGTATCCTCTATCGAACAGAACTAATTTGTTTAAGAGGATTCAGGAAAGGCTGTTTAGGAGCTTCGCAGTAGAGAATGGTCACACAAACTATTAACTAATTAGGAAACCAAGTGCTAGACAACCAAAAATTGTACCTGGGCGATTTACAAGTCACCCTAACTATCTTTTGTGAGAAGCACTTCCTTTTTTTTTTTTAAATGGTTAGATGGCCTTTAGTTAAACAACAAAGCATTCAAATGTTAGAAAGTAAGACAAGGTTTCTCTTATGTGTATGCATTGAGCCGCTCTTTAGAGCGGGTAGAATGAATATCATGAAGCTCTTGCTCCTCCTTTGACTTAATATCCTCATACTTTTGCATTCTGCATGCATCTTTCACATAGGCCCAGTTAGCAGACAGAACCATGAGATAATGAACCTGTAAGAGAGGAGATAGGGAGTTAGTAACTAATTGCATAGAAACAGAATATATTCAAAGTATTGAATATTGAAAAATTAAGATCAAGATGTTTAGATGGGATCAAAATGCACTGAGCAGAGCAGGTTAGGGAGCGGAGTGCAAAATCGGTGTAAAGCTCACCTTTGAACTTCATTGATCCTGGGGCTATTCTGTGCATGGCATGTTCCCTCTGCACTGTGATAGAGCAGCCTACAGACTACTCTAACTTACATTTGGCTGCAATGGCCATAAGGCCAAAAACATAGAGGAGGATCAGCATGGCACAGGGGTGTCCCAGGCATGCCCTCTTTCCCCCTTTTTGCTAGCAGCAAGGAGAGTGTGTGACAAAAGAGCCCCTCCATCAGCCCTACATCACTATTACAATCAGATCATGGATCTGGTTTCTGATGCAGGAGAAACTGCGTACTCTGAAGTAGATGCCCATATATCTGCTTGGCTCCAGGCTTCTTAGAAAGGCCAGAAATGCTTGAGGAACTGCCCTGACACATAGAACCTGGGAAACTAGTGGAGACATCTTTACAGAAGGCAAGGCGACAAAGCCATCCTGAATTCTCCTGGGGTTTCTGTCCTATCCTTTACCCTCTCCTACAAAGGAGGAAAAGGAAAGGCTCATCTATAAAGCAGACTTTCATGTTAACTATTATAATTAATTAGAATCAACTTCTGAACACACCCCCAATCTAATCCAATTGGGTTGGGGGCACGCTAAACAGGGCTTTGAACTCAGGGAACCTTGGTCTCTCCAAGAACAAATATAAATTGGTGATCCTGTACTAGGAACGTTCATTGACACTGTCTCCAGAAAGGTGGTCTTGATTCAAATGGACAATAACATCTGTGTTGAAGAAATGCTGCAGATGTGAGAGTGGGCTTTGTCCCACAATTTCTGATTATCATTTAACTGGCATGGAAGGAGATCATGCACACAGTCACTCTGAGTTGATCCATGCTAGGTATTCATGAATGGTCTCTGTATCAGGGAGTGTTGGAACAAAGAGGGAACCCTGGTGATGGATCTCTGCCACTCAACTTAACAAGAAGCCTCATTCACCTCTGATAGTAAAACTCCTGGCAAAGCTCAGAAGAGACAAAGGTTTGGTAACCCTGATCACTCTATTATGGCCCAGGCAATTGGCTTTATTGATCTGGGATTGCAGCTGACCAAAACTAATCCCATCAAACAGAGTCTGCCCTGGCACACAAGGCACATTGTTCTACCCTAATCTGGAACCTTATCCATGAAAGTTTGGCTCCTAACAGGGCAGAGCTCCACAGGTATTGAGTACGTGAGGAATGGGGGCTCAGGTCCTCCTGGCCATTTGACTACCATCTACCAGAAGGACTTGTGATTGGAAAAGGTACAAATCTTTCTCAGAGACGTGGAGAAAGGCAACATAGAGAAAACAGGATATTTTTTATTTGATCTACACATAAATGTTTGAACTTCTTTGCCAGTTTGAAACGAACTTGAAGACTAACTCCCTCCAGTTTCATTTTGGCCTATCATGAACTATTTAAAAGTAAACAAGTGTCTCTACAGCCCCATGTTAAGTAAAACATGTGTCTGACACATGAGAAGCCCCTCCTCCCCATTAAAAAAATCATAGTACCACAGTCCTGACAAACCCAATGAAATTTCCTTTGGAGCTCAAGTTTATTAAAAGGAAAGTCATTTTCTAGTGGCAATGACTTAAGCTTGTAGAACTAAATAAAATTCTGGGTCTAATGACTGATCCTCAAGATACTAAGTTTTAAAATAATAAAGTGATGGTTTATATTTATGCAAGATTCTGCTCCAACGTGATTTTGGCATTCCTTTTTAATGAGTCCATTACACTGCCAACATTCTTCCCATGACTACATGTCCATAGAATCGTAGGACTGAAAGGGACCTTGAGAGGTCATCTAGTCCATTCCCTTGCATTCATGGCAGGACTAAGTATTAGCTAGACTATCTCTGGCAGATATTTGTCTAACCTGCTCTTAAAAATCTCCAACGATGGAGATTCCACAAACACCCATTCTTACTGTTAAAAGTTCCTTGGGGTTCTAGTTGGAGCACAGTGAAGCCATTAGGAAGTCTGAAGGGCCATGATCCATTTGCTGTGTGTGTAAAATCCTGACCACAGGCTCTGTCAGCAACTTTTCACATAGGCCAAAAGTCCAAAGCTTGGTTTGAGCTGGGGGCCTAGTTAACAATGAACAATATTGGCTAAAAGAAGCTGAATAAACGAGAGACAACCTTGCTTCTTACTAGATAAGCATAGTCAGCAGAACTCCAGATAGGGAGCGGTAATTAGTGTCCTTATCAGAAGTTACAGACATACCAAACATTGGACGGGGCCTCAAATGTCCACTCCTTAGTGCAGGAAGGAGATAGCAAATACCCTCCCTAGAGTTCCATACCAGCCTAGAGTTCATGGAGAGGCCCAAACATGGCAGTATGAGATGTGACATCCTCCCTTCCACAGATGCATCCCCCTCTCCCCCAGATGCCAATGTTAGCTTTTAGGAGCACAATGGGGCACCCTGAAAACAATTTCTATTACCATGTACTTTTCAATGTCTTTTGTTTTAACCCACAGGAACGTACCTGTTGGACAACCGGAAGAGCTACCTCATTCCTATGGACCCCCAAATCAGAATTCAACTTATATATTTTATAATTATACACTTTATACATTGTTTGAGGAAAAACATCTGTGTCTCAACAGTACGTTGCATGTTAACCTGAACCCTGGGCGGAGCCATTATGTAATCTTTTAGACTATTGGCTTATTGTGCTTATCTTGTCTTGCTGCTAGAACCTATCCAGGGGCTCGGGACCTCCCACCCCATCGCTTCCCTCCGCCCACAGATAACCTATATAATCTATTGTAATCAATTGCTTGGATGTGTATCTGAGCCCAATAAGCAAAGTGACACTCCGCCAGCGCTGTGCGTAAAAAACCCACGTGCTTGACTCTACACGGTGTCCATTTTGTTCCTTCAGATGGGGGCTCGTCCGGGATGCAAGCTTGTGAACTGATTGGGGAGCTGAGACTTAGATCCAAATAGGAGAGAGTATGTTTAATTTACCATCTCATTAAGCCAGGGATAGAAGTCTCTCATCCCCTTTAGATACATTTTAAAAAGTGGGAACAAGATGTAAGTGCAAAGGAACCTAGACACGTGTAATCCAAGCATAGGGGTTAAATAGGGGTACCAATTGGGAGGATAGACGAGTGCAAGAGGGTTACGTACTGTTTAAACTAAGGGGTGTGTTACGGAGGACTTGGACAAACCACCAGCAAGCGATTGGCCATGAGTTAAGCCCAGAACTGGCTGGGTACGCAAGCCGTAGGCAGTACGAACTGGTGGTCCCATTTCCTCATTGCACATAACATTGCAAGCCCATTTTGTTCCTTCAAAGTCCATGCAACTTTTTATTTCATTTGACACCAATATCCTAAGCAACACTGATACTAAGAAGGCCATGTCTCAATGGCCGTCTAATTGAATTTCACACTTCTACGATCTGGCTGGCCTAAAGCTAAAGGACCATGTCAAGGTTCATTCAATCTGAAACAGGGCTGCTTCCACTGCCTGCCTCAGGTATATTTCAGTTTCAGAATTATGCCAGGCAGCACATGGTCCTCATTCCATGCTCTTATGAAGCCCTATTCCTCTCATTTGGTCTTTAGGGAGATATTCTGATTCAGTCTTTCAGTATTTGTGCCCAAAGTAGGGGAGTCCAAACTCTTCTGCCCCCTAGAATTTAATTTGGATGTCCCTTATTTGAGTTAGCCAACATTTTGAAAATTTTCTTCCCCTCTGAATGCATCCTATAAGCTTCCCATCATATAAGGCTGTTTTTTGGGAGCCAATCTACTCACCGCACACAACATTAAAAAAAACAACAACACTTTTCTTTAAAAACAACAAGGAGTCTGGTGGCACCTTAAAGACTAACAGATTTATTTGGGCATAAGCTTTCGTGGGTGAAAACCTCACATCCGAAGAAGTGAGGTTTTTACCCACGAAAGCTTATGCCCAAATAAATCTGTTAGTCTTTAAGGTGCCACCAGACTCCTTGTTGTTTTTGTAGATACAGACTAACACGGCTACCCCCTGATACTTAACACTTTTCTTTCTTATTGCTATTGGTCCTGTTGCAGCATTATTGTTTACACCTTCTTACAGCAATATCTCAAGCCACTTCCTCTCCAGAAGGAAGAATCTTGTTCAGCTTGCATCTTAAGACAAGAGGAATTATATATTTTGTAATTCTGCTTCTCTGCAAATATCATACTGCAAGATTCTAACTTAACCATCACCCCTCAGAGTTGGGAGAAATATCAATTTGTGTTTTTATTTATATATGAACCTTTTGATGTTCTTTCTACTTCCTTCAGTAAATTTAATATTTATTGTTTATATTGTTATTTGTAGAGCCTTTGCTTCCTACTCATTCAGGTACTGACAGGAAAGTTCTAAGAACAGCAGTTTAAAAGTTCAGGATGGTGCCTAACTACAGATAAGTGTGGCTGTTTCTTACTCCTGTCTGCTACCACTGTCCTTAGGAGCCAAAAAACGTTTAAAGCATGAGAAGTCCTATCAGTCTAGTCCTTGAGTGGTGCAACCCAGAGTGAGAACCTTGCAAGAGAACAGATTATTTTTCTCTTTCCAGAAGACCTGTAATGTTAATTTTTATATGACATATCAATTAAAAGTAGACAGGTACTTCTATATAATAACTCGCCAACAGACCCATTGATTTTTCAAGCTGGAACATGGAACTGCATATGGGTGAATGAGCAGGTAATTAATTTGTAAACACAAGCAATTGTATCCTTAATATACAACTCTGAACTCAAAAGATAGGGTAGCTAGTGAGAAGAAACCGTCCATGGGTCAAATGATTTTGCTCTACAAAATAAGTTTACAGCAGAATGTGTTTCTTAAAAAAAGTATTTCCT